ACGCAGACACACACACACACGCAGACACACACACACACACACACTCACACCCCCACACCCGCAGTCACACACACACACCTGCAGTCACACACACACACCCGCAGACACACACACACGCAGTCACACACATACACACCCACAGTCACACACACACACCCGCAGACACACACACACGCAGTCACACACATACACACCCACAGTCACACACACACACCCGCAGACACACACACACGCAGTCACACACATACACACCCACAGTCACACACACACACCCGCAGACACACACACACGCAGTCACACACATACACACCCACAGTCACACACACACACCCGCAGACACACACACACGCAGTCACACACATACACACCCACAGTCACACACACACACCCGCAGACACACACACACGCAGTCACACACATACACACCCACAGTCACACACACACACCCGCAGACACACACACACGCAGTCACACACATACACACCCACAGTCACACACACACACCCGCAGACACACACACACGCAGTCACACACATACACACCCACAGTCACACACACACACCCGCAGACACACACACACGCAGTCACACACATACACACCCACAGTCACACACACACACCCGCAGACACACACACACGCAGTCACACACATACACACCCACAGTCACACACACACACCCGCAGACACACACACACGCAGTCACACACATACACACCCACAGTCACACACACACACCCGCAGACACACACACACGCAGTCACACACATACACACCCACAGTCACACACACACACCCGCAGACACACACACACGCAGTCACACACATACACACCCACAGTCACACACACACACCCGCAGACACACACACACGCAGTCACACACATACACACCCACAGTCACACACACACACCCGCAGACACACACACACGCAGTCACACACATACACACCCACAGTCACACACACACACCCGCAGACACACACACACGCAGTCACACACATACACACCCACAGTCACACACACACACCCGCAGACACACACACACGCAGTCACACACATACACACCCACAGTCACACACACACACCCGCAGACACACACACACGCAGTCACACACATACACACCCACAGTCACACACACACACCCGCAGACACACACACACGCAGTCACACACATACACACCCACAGTCACACACACACACCCGCAGACACACACACACGCAGTCACACACATACACACCCACAGTCACACACACACACCCGCAGACACACACACACGCAGTCACACACATACACACCCACAGTCACACACACACACCCGCAGACACACACACACGCAGTCACACACATACACACCCACAGTCACACACACACACCCGCAGACACACACACACGCAGTCACACACATACACACCCACAGTCACACACACACACCCGCAGACACACACACACGCAGTCACACACATACACACCCACAGTCACACACACACACCCGCAGACACACACACACGCAGTCACACACATACACACCCACAGTCACACACACACACCCGCAGACACACACACACGCAGTCACACACATACACACCCACAGTCACACACACACACCCGCAGACACACACACACGCAGTCACACACATACACACCCACAGTCACACACACACACCCGCAGACACACACACACGCAGTCACACACATACACACCCACAGTCACACACACACACCCGCAGACACACACACACGCAGTCACACACATACACACCCACAGTCACACACACACACCCGCAGACACACACACACGCAGTCACACACACACACACCTGCAGTCACACACACACACCCGCAACCACACCCGCAGACCAGCTGTCCACTTCTGACCCTGCACATCCCATATGAATGGAGTCGTGTGCTCCGTGTCTGGACCCCGATCTAGCGTGATGTCTCAGGCTGTACACACGTTGCAGCGTATGTGGCTGCCTGGTCCTGGGGGCTGAATGCTATTCCCCGCGGGGATGGACCACATTTTAGCGCCCTGAATCTGCTCATCACCGGGTGCACCTGGCCTCGGTCTCCAGGCTATTGTGAAAAGCGCTGCCAGGGCAGTGCAGTGCGAGCCCGGGTGCGCATGTGCGGGTGTCCCGGGCAGGTGCACACCGCTCGTGTGCAAACTCTGGGGCAGTCTAGGACACCCCCACCCCTCCAGAGCAGTCACCATTCTGCACTCCCGCCAGCGCTCGGTGAGGCCCGCGTCCCCACACCCTCACCCACAGGAGCGTGGTCTGACTTTCCGCCCCAGCCGGATTCGCATCTCCTTATTACTAAAGGGCATGGAGCATCTTTAGCCAATCTACAAACCCTCTCTGGATAACTGTCTTCCTAAAACCTCTGGCTTTTTTTTATCATCGAGGGGTAGGCCTTGCTTCTGTTTTCTGGCCACAAGTTCCTTGCTAGGCAATCTGCAAAGACTCCTATCCCGTGGGGTCTCTCCCGGTGCACTGCTCTCTGACCGCGTTGAAGCCGCGCCTTCCGACCGCGCTGCGCGGCCGGAGGACGCCGCCAGGGGGCGGGGCGGCGCAGGTAGGATCCCGCGCCCTAGGCTGCGCATGCGCGACTTCGGCGCCCGGCCGCGAGCCCCG